AAAAAGAAAAGAATGAAGAGCCGGCTTCAGGGCCAGGAGGCCGACATCACAGCCTCGTTTCCCCTGCGGAAAACAGCTCTTTCTCAAAAAGACGCCACAGCAGTGAAACAGAAGCCATCCTGAAAGGCACCCGTGAAGAAAACCACCCCGCCGAAGACAGGCTTGCATGTGCGCAGCGGAGGACTCCCTGAGTACCAGGCAGGGCGACGTGACGTGTCCTGGCTGCCCACGTCTGATTAAAAATGGTGTTTTCAAGGAAAAAGAAGATTCTGCTGCGTCCACACAGGAAAGACGATCCTGCTACCTACAGTGTGCACAGCCGGGCTGGCCTTGGACAGCTCGCGGGCGCACGGTCTCAAAAGGTGGAGCCTGCACACAGCTCTGAGCGGAGGGTCACGGTCAAAGGGGGGGCCTCCGTCAGAGGACACCTGCTCCTATGGCGTCAGCTGCCGCTTATCAATTCCCCGAATCACAGGGAAGCGAAACGCCAGTGTCCCAACGACAGGCAGGAACGAAGCACGCAAGTCTGCTATGTGGTCTTTTTAAACATTTCGTGGAAGTTCCAACAAATTCAAAGAAAGTACTAATTTGGGGAAGAGAGAACAGAGAGTAAGGATGTTCCTGCAGAGAGGGCCTGCGCTCACAGGCCTTCGGGAAGATCCCAGGGAGGCGGTCATCCCAGCCGCGCTGCCCTGGGGCAGCCTCGCCTCCACGCTGGCCCTGCCTGCCCGGCCCGCCGCCCGCCACCGGCTTCATTCCGAGTGAGACGGGAGCTGCCGCGGAGCTGGGGCTGCAGGGCGGGGGAGGTGGAAGCAAGGCCCCTCGGGGGCTCCTGCTGGTGCAGCAGAGCTGCCAAGGGGCTGCGCACCGCCTCCTGGACGCCTCCGCGTCACCCCGCGGCCCGGCCCGCCCCGCACAAGCAGCGGCCCTCTCTGCAGAGTAAACTACCAAGGCCGAGCGGTCGCGTGAGCAGCCCCGGGTGGCGGGGGCTTCGGTGGGTCCCCCACTTCCCTACCGTGGGGCCTTGAGCAAGTTCCTCA